AAGAACAATTAAATCCTAAATTTTGTAGAAAAATTTAGATTACTAAAATAAGGTCAAAAATTGCATGAAATAGAATTGAAAAACATCATAGAAAGGATCAACAAGACAAAAAAGCTGGTTGACAAAGCCCTGGCCAGATTGACTAAAAAAGAGAGAAAGCCCAAATAAATACAATTGGAAATGAAAAAGGCGATGTCAAAAATGATCCTGAAGAAATTCAAAAAATTATCAGAGATTACTAAGCACATCTTTATGCAAATAAATCAGAAAATCTAGAGGAAGTGGAGAAATTTCTGGCATCATATACCTCCCAAGATTGAAACAGAAAGAAATTGAAACTCTAAACTGACCAATAACAATCTAAGAAATCAACTCAGTTATAAGAAACTTCTCCATCAAACAAAGCCCTGGGCCAAATGGTTTCTCAGTTGAATTCTACAAGACATGTAAGGAATAGCTGATACCAATTATATTGAAAGTATTCCAGGAAATGGAGAAGGAAGGAATTCTCCCTAGCTCATTCTATGAAGCTAATATCATCCTGATACCCCAAACTGGCAAAGACCCAACAAGGAAAGAGAACTACAGACCAATTTACCTGATGAACATTGGTGCAAAAATTCTCAACATGATTCTAGCAAATAGTATTCAACAACATATTTCAAGGAGCACTCATCATGATCAGATGGGCTTCAGTCCGTAAGTCTATTAATGCAATTTATCACATTAACAAGTGTAAAACCAAGATCCACATGATTATCTCATTAAATGCAGAAAAAGCATTTGATAAAATTCAGCATCTCTTCTTGATAAAAACCCTCGAACACCTAGACATCAAAGGAACATTCCTCAAAACAATAAGTTAGCCATCTATGACAGACCTGCAGCCAACATCATGCTGAATGGGCATAAGCTGGAAGCATTCCCCCTAAGAACTGGAACAAGATAAGGATGCCTATTCTCACCCCTCCTATTCAACAGAGTGCTGACACAATCAAGCAGGAGAAAGAAATCAATGTATTCAAATAGGAAAAGAGGAAGTTAAGTTATTTCTCTACGCAGATGGTATGATTCTATGCCTAGATAACCCTAGAGAGTCTGTCAAAAAACCTTTTCACACTGATAAACAACTTGAGTAAAGTCTTGGGATGCAAAATTAATGTGCAACAGATAGTAGCTGAGAACCAATTCAAAAACATAATTTCATTCACTGGAGCTACAAAAAAAGAGAAAGAAATAAATATCTTGGCATCCATCTAACCAAAGAAGTGAAAGACCTTTACAGTGAAAACTACAAAACACTACTCAAAGAAATCAAATACAAACAAATGGAAAAACATCCCATGCTTATGGATTGGAAGAATCAATATCATCAAGATGTCCATCCTACCCAAGGCAACCTACAAATTCAATGAAATCTCTATCAGATTGCCAACATTATTTTCAAGACCTAACCAAGAATCTAGACATTCATATGGGAGCAAAAAAGAGCCTCTACAAAAGGAACTAAGCTGAAGGCATCACACTTCCAGACTTTAAACTTTATTACAAGGCTTTCGTAACCAAGACAGCATGGTATTGGTACAGCAATAGGTATATAGATCAATGGCACAGAACAGACAATCTGGAAATAAAACATGGTCCCTCAACCAACTATCTTTGACAAAGCCATAAAAAACAAACACTGGGAAAAGAAAACTATATTTAGCACATGGTGCTATGAAAATTGACTAGCCAATTTTCAAAAGAATGAAACTGGACCCCTACCTATCACCATATAAAAAAAATGAACTCAAAATGAATCAAGGGCTTAAATGTAAGAACATCAAACTATAAGAATCTTAGAAGAAAATATAGGGAAGCCTCCTGGACATTTAGTTCATAGCTAAGTCCTCAAAAGCAAATGCAACAAAAGCTAAGATAGACAGGTGTGACCTTATCAAACTGAAAAGCTTTTGCACAGAAAAAGAAACCATCAAGAGGGTAAAGAGACAACCCAGGGAATGGAAAAAAATATTTGCAAGCTATGCATCTGACAAAGGCCTAACATCCAGGGTGTACGAGGAACTCAATGAACGGAAAGGAAAACAACAACCCACCCTATTAAAAGTGGGCAAAGGACATGAACAGACACTTCTCAAAGGTTGACATATAGCAGCCAACCAACCCGTGAAAAAATGCTCAGTCCCACCAATCATCAGAGAAATGCAAATCAAAACTACAACGAGATACTGCCTCACACTGGTAAGTATGGCTGTCATTAAAAAGACAAAAAACAATAGGAGCTGGCATGGCTGTGGAAAAAAGGGCAGGCTTCTACACTGTTGGTTGGAATGTAGGCTAGTTCACCCTTTGTGAAAAGTATTGTGGTGATTTCTCAATGAACTAAAAATTGAGCTTCCATACAAACCAGCTATCCCGCTTCCGGAAATATACCCAGAGGAACATAAATTGCTCTGCCAAAAAGACATCTGCACACAGATGTTTTTTTGCAGCACTATTCACAATAGCAAAAACATGGAACCATTAAAAGTGAACTAGATAAAGGGAATGTGGTACATATACACAATGGAATATTACGCAGACATAAAGAAGTACAAAATCATGGTCTTTGCAACAACATGGATGCAGCCGGAGACCATCATACTAAGTGAACTATCACAGAAACAAATAACTGAATACCACATGTTCTCAGTCATAAACATGCCCTGATCACTAGTCATATGAGCACAATGGTGGGATTGGCAGATGCTGGACACTGCTGGAGGAGGTTGGGAAGGAGGAGGATGAGGGGGAACATAGCAACACACTGAGTACCTGGTCCACTATCAGGAGAGAGAGGGCCAACTAGAAGCCCAAACATCACCTGCGTGCAACTTACTTATGTAGTAAATCCTCATTTGTACCTTACAACTCTAAAATAAAACAAAATCTAACTCTGTAGCAAATGTTTATTGCTGTATCATATATGGATTTGCTACAATCTACCTACCTTTTCCCTATTTTTAGACATTTGGCTTTTTGTACTTACTCTTTATTATGATTATCATGGCAATAAACATATTGGTCAATGTTCTGGGTTGCAAGTAACAGAGATGGACTTTGGCTAAAACAACAGAAATGAATTTATTGGGAGTCTTAAGTAGTTCACAGATTAACAGAAAGTTTGGAGAACCAGGTTTGTAAACCAGGCAGATGTCAAGGTAGCCAGAAACATGGCTATAGAAGTCCTTCGGAACAGACTGGTTAGGGACTGGTTTCCCTGGCGCCGCATACACCAGACTCTTACCCCGATAGATGCTCACTGCTGCCACCATCACTGTTGCCAATACTGGATTCTGTCTGCTACTATTGTCACCATTAATCATTTCCCTGCATCTTTGCTTTTGTTCCTTGAGATTCAAAATTCAGGCTGTTCACTTCTAGTTGGTTGAATCAAGGTCATTTTTTGTTTTTTTGATACTAGTGGGTAGAGAGAAAGAATGTCTGGTGGCAATCTATTCTCTACCAAGACTCACAGATTTTTTAGTTTCACTGAAGCAGAGAGTGTGGATGCCAGGGTCAGGAGGAGACAAATATAAAAAAGTCTTTCTGCATACGTTTTTACCTGTAGTTCTCCTAGGGATTGATTCTTGGTATTGGCATATGGAACCAAACTGTATGAAATCCTGGTACTTCTTTGACCTCTCCCTGCCTGTTTATTCGAAACGTTCTTCATGATTCTTTTGTCCTCTTCTTGCACTACATGCTTCCCTGTGTGACCTTTTCATTTCTCATAGTCCAAAGGTTGGAACCACCATAGATATGTGGGGGAATTCAAAGTGCTTATTTCAATCGTTGGTCTCTATCTTGAACTTCAGATAAATATATTTAACTGTCTCACATAATCTGGATTTTCTAGAGATGTCTGTGAATTTCAGAAAGTCCCAAACAATTCATCATCACCTTCCTCCTCAAACCCACTGCATCTATAAATTCCTTGGTTTAGAGAATGTGGCCACCATTGCTCTAGGTCACAAGATCAGAAACTTGCTTTTTATTCTTGATCTTTACTTCTCTCTTTATTTACTCTTCCGTAAAATTATCTCCAGCTTCTGTAAATTCTGCTTCTAAATATCTCTGGATTCTGTTCTATGCTCTGTGTTCCCAGAAAACATTCCCTACTTCAGGTACTTATCATTTTGTTTTAAATTGTGGCTGTTGCTTCTTAACTGGTCTTTCTCCTGCTCTAGTTCCAGTTTTAGAGTACAGAACCAACCCCATTGTTTCTTTGATTAAGATCCTATTTTCTCCAGGAAGCTTCTCCAGCCACCTTGTCTGCTTGCCCCTTCCTGCCCAGAGTTACTTGATTCTCTCTGGTTTCCATGGTACTCAGGGCTTACCAGCACTCTTCACACCTTGTTAAAATGGTTGCTGTCAAGAGATTGAGAACTCCTTGAGGGTAGAACCTTTTGAGACTTGCATTGAATCACCAGTGCCCAGCATAACACTCATGCTCAGTAGGTATTCAGTTATGACATTGTTGAATGAGTATCATGACTGGGTTTTAAACGATATTACAAAACTAATGTTTGTTGAATAATAGTTGGACGGTCAATTAAATTCATGAAATCCAAGCAACTGCCTTTGTAGATCCTATGCTACATTTAAGAGACAAAGTTTGAGAACATGCCTCATTATATGGTAAACTGACTTCTTCCTATTTAGCATATCACAAGACATTTTTCAAAAGTAGAGAAATGAGAATGTTATGAGAACCAGACTGCGAGAATAAGAGATTTATTCCACAGGGGAAAAAAATACCACAAAAATGTTAGAAGACAATTTACACACAGGCTTGGATCATAAACTATTGCATTTTTTTCTTTCACTAACCCAATGTTTACTCTGTTTTTTTGTTTTGTTTTTGTGAAGTCCTGAGCACTGATATAGCATCTGAAAGGTATATTTTGGCAAAACTATAGTATGGGAATGACCTGGTGACCCTTGTTTCCCTTTAGGGCAATCAGTGTGGCTGGCTGGTTCCAGGAGAGGGATATACACTTGCAGTCACCCAGCACCAGCAGCTTGCTGAAATTGATGTAAAACTCCAAGAACTCTCTGCAGCTTCCCCAACAATTTCCAGGTTTTCTCCAAGCCTTGAAAGTGAGAATGATCAGGTATATTTAATTCAAGAGCACACAGACAGTTCAAGTTTATGTATGTTAAAGCTAGTTGATATAATTTTCCAATATGCTTGTTAACCAATTGCTTTTTCCATGACTCCAATGGTAGTAATTGTTGTTTCATTTTCCTTTAGTTACTTCCACTTTCTAACCATTTTTCTTTCATTTGGTAATCTACTGGGATGGGGTCAGTGAGGAAATATTTATTTTAATATTATTGTATCTCTATATTTAAGTTAATTCTTGATGCGATCAGGAGAGAGGAGAAGGAAGAAAATTGATTCTTTGAGAACCTTATTTTTCTTTATTTCCCTATCACTAGGTATTAGCAATAGCAGCCACTTTTCCCCTACTCTACCACATTCTTCTAGCTCCTTTAACATCAAGCAGTGAAACTCATTATGTTGATGACTTCTCTCCTCTGACGATTTTAAAATGAATGTGTTTCTTTTCTCAATAGTTCCCTCAAATATTCTTTTACAAAGCTGGTAGAAGGTATAGAGTAACAGAGTAACAGACTAGTACCAGCTTTGGAAAAGTAAAATTCTCTCTCTGCTAACCCCCCCAATTTTTAAGTACTCCATGAAATCTAATTTGGGGTTGAGTGGTAAAATGAAGAGTAAATGGTCTTTTGTAATTCTGCTAACCCTCTACCAGCTTTGTAAATGTTTCACCAAATCATTTTTTGTACAATTATAGGTGGCTGCGATTTTCTTCGTCCCTCTAAAGAGTTAAGTATCAGTAGCCTATAGTTAATACTTCTGATTTATGGCAAGTCCTTTCTCCGAGCTATCAAATGAAGGTTAGGGATAGGACTTTTTAGGCCAGTTGAAACGACCTCAGGAGAAAGGACCAGTATCAAGATGTTCCAAAAAAACAGTTTGGTGACTGAATGATTACTATTCTAAGGAACAGGCACAGCTGCTTCTGACTTTTTAGACAGCAGTACTGGTGGTGGCATTCCCAGTGTTAATTTCTAATTCTGTATCAGGATTAGTGTTCTTAGAAAACAGAGAATTGCAATCTTTGTCTCCACCCAAATGTCCTGGGACTGACACAAATTAGGCTAGTTTATTTATGTTACTGGGTTCCATTTTTTCAAAAGGAGGAATTCTAGATGGGGAAATAAAATTGTTCAGAGAGACTTTTTGTTCTTTTCATGTTTCAGCTGATTTTGTTGTTGTTGTTGTTAGATTTCAAGGATAGATGACTCTCAAAGCTGAAAAATGGTCTTAAAGATAAGAAATGTCTTTTTCATGACTGTCAAATGTTATTCTTGAAAGAGATTGAGAATTTAGAGTTTTTTTTAGTGATTAGGACTTGAAATAAAGCATGAATATGGTCAGATTCTGTCATCATCATCTAAATCACATTTTCAGAGTTCTTATTTAGGGCTCAGATAAGATATTTAAGAAATAATGAAAAGGAAACCAGCATATATTACTTTTTTGCTACATACTGAGAATATGTATTTTTATGTGAAACAACATATATTTAGAGAGAAAAGAGAAAACAGTAATTGGAACTCCCATTGGATGCAGAAACAGAAATGTAGCATCATAGTTGTAGAAAGGAAATAATTGATGCTTCTTGCATGCAAAAATAATATCTTTTGAGCTTTTGTTCAATTTCCTCTTGGAATTTCCTCATTTCTAACCAAAACCAGCATCTCACATGGAATTTTCAAAGCAGACATGCTAACGTGGCAAATTATTTTAGGAATATTATTTTTGGATTGGAATACTTTTTGTATAAATATGCTGTATCTCAGATAAACCCTGTATATCTATTTAGTTGATGAATGGGTTCCAATCTATTGCTGAACCACAAATATTCACAGTGCATAGTCACTTTATTTTTAACTCTCCTGCAAACTATTCACTCACCAGTGAGTTTTCTCTATACTCCTTAAGAAAGAATGCCTTTAAGTGGAATATAAACTTCTGTATTTATTTATTTAGTTAGTTATTTTTGAGTCAGAGTCTTACTCTGTCACCCAGGCTGGAGTACAGTGGCATGATCATGGCTACGGCAGCCTTGACCTCTTAGGCTCAGGCTATCCTGTGAAAGGCTACAGCCTTCCAAGTAGCTGGAACTACAGGCATGCAACACCACTCCCTGCTAATTATATTTTATTTTATTATGCCCCCTGGAGCTACCCCCTTTGCTGCCTCTCTACCTCCTCTGCGTCCTCCCCTGGGCCTCTCTATTTACCTTTGTATTTTATTTTATTTTATTATAGAGACAGATCTCACAATGTTGCCCAGGCTGTTCTCATGTTTCTGGGCTCAAGCAATCCTCTTGCCTTGGTTTCCCAAAGTGCTGGGATTATAGGCATAAGCACTGGGCCCAGCCCTAAATTTCTCTTTTTAAACAATAAATTCAACAAATAGTGACTGAATATTCACCAGATATAAAGAATTATAGATAATTTGAAGTTGAGTCAGGCAAATATAATACTTTGGAGTCAAAAGCTTCAATTCAGGTTTTGGCTCTATCATTTACTAGTACTGTAGTGTTGGGCATTTATTTTCTCATTCATAAAACAGTAATAATATGATTTAGGGTTCTTATAAAGATGAGCTGAGTTATCATACATAAAGTATGTGGCGCATTGTCTGACACAGGACTCCATCAATGATATTATTATAATAATAAACGATTTAAGGAAATTATTTCCTTATGGGAGATGTTAAGTATACATGGATAACTGTGGTACAAGACAACATAGGTAAGTCCATAGATGGCTGTAAGGGTAGTACTGTGGTGGTTCAGAGGAGACTGAGAACATACAAGGAATATCCAGAAGGTCCCTTTTCATAAGTGAGGGCCAGGGGGAGGAAGGGGAACTAGAGAAGGAGCAGAAGGATCAGAGACACAGGTGAAAACTGCCATTATTTGTCATAAGAATGAAAACTGGTGGCCTGTGGGATAAATTAAACTCCCAGAGGGGTGTCCTTTAGCCTACAAAGGGTCTAAATTTTTTAAGCCAACATTTAAAAATTTGGTGAATTCATATAAAAATCCAAATTTCTAGTTTCTCTCTTGAAAATTAGATTGTCAACCACTGGATTGAGCTGAATAGCAACTGCTCTTTATAGGGCACAGTTATCTCCAGTTTGCTGCAGTGTCCACCACTCCATAATGTGTGGCGGGCCCTGAGGCCCACTTCATGCATTTATGTTTCTTGCCCAGCCCCTGCACAGCCTCTGGTACATTTTTGAATGCCTACCTACTTATTTCATAGGAGATGCTGTGGTGGCTGATGCTGAGTTTTCAGACTGGGATGAGGTTTCATCTTTGGTTTCACAGCAGCTTGTAGAATGAATACTCGAGGATATGATGTGAACATAGTTGTGGAGTGACCATACAGTGAAACAAGAAGAACCGCAAAATGGGCACCGATTTTATGAAAAGTACAGAAAGTGTATGCTATGGGAGCACAAAGGAAAGATTATGTAAAGCAGTATATTTAAAAAAATTCTTTGACAATCTCTTTTTCCCTTTCTTTTTAGTTTCTTTCGGTCAGGAAAATAGTCTCTTAAAAAACAGAAACACACAGATTTTCTGATTTATCTGCCTGTGGTAACTATAAGGTGCTAAATTGGCAGGCACATGAACTTAAGATGATAGACGTGTCTGAGTCAGAAGAGAGACTCTAGAAATGTGCCTCAGAGATTCAGGGAGTGTTGGTCATTGTGACAGGGACAGGTATAAAGTCTTCTTTTCCTCATGGACTTGCTGATTGTGATGTTCTCATATACATGCCCTGACCCAGCACTTAACTTTATGGCAGTGTTTTTAAAAGCAGCATTTGGCTTTTACATATCTGATTTCCTTAGTGTAAAACAAAGCATGTGGGCACATTCAAGAGAAAGAATGTCATATTACTGCTATTTCTGTAATGTGAATAATATCATGTGGTTGCAGTTCTTACATCTGCTTTTAATTTTCATTTCATCTTAGCAAGAGAACTAATTGAAGCAATTTTTTCTTAAGATCTGTGGTTTAACTATGCATACCTTTCTGTATCCATCTCCTAACCCTCCAACAAATCAGTTAGTTCTTTCCACATATTGTAAATCCCACCATAAAATTGAGTGATGTTCCATAATTTAGTGACCATATTTCTTATTTGTAGATGTATTAGATTTCAACTTTCTCCAGAAATATCTAAGATATAGGAGTTATGTAAGCATTCAGTTTCTTAAATCCTTAGCAACTGGATTCAATAATAAATTTTATTCAGTTTGACTCTTGCATAAAAGTGTAGTTTATTCATTTCTCATCCAATCAGTGTTACTAAATCTAGAATTCCAGTTCATGGTTAGATTTTTGTTCTTGGTTGGGGGAGGGTCTTCAGAAATGGAATTTGACAAGAGGTATTTCTTTGTTCTTAAACCAACTAGTTTTACTAAACATAAATTTTCCTTAATTTGATTTGTTTTTTGTTTATAAAATATTGATTCAGTTGTACACAATTTGGTAAGATCAACAAAAAATTGACAAACATTTGGTTGAGGAAGACTGTAGTTTGTATTAATTTCTTTTCTTTCTTGCAAGATCATGTTATTATTGCTGACAGCAACAGTCTCCTCTTGTCTCTGTAGTAGCTAAAATTGAGGAAACATAGACCATTGTTTGACATGTAATCCTGAAAGATGTTTTATTTCTGAGTCCAGGAACTTGCACAGTTCCAATAATGGCCATAGAGTCTACTTGGCCCCAGATGTACTTTATATGTTGGTTGAGAGCAGGAATCTAAGAATTTTTAAAAGTATGCCAGTCACAGGCACAGAAGTCTTATTGACCATCTGCTTATTTCTAAAACGAATGGAAGTTTGCCACAGGAGCATGGATATCTGGATTGAGGAATAAATAACAAGTTACTTGAGAGGTACTTGCCTCTAATGCCAACCTGTCAGACATTGCCAGTTAAATCCCAGAACTTGCTCTTGCCACCTATATTTTACAGATTACTTTGAAGTTTATATTTTGTATTTCTTTGTTTTTCTGTGTTGAACCTCTACTATAGTCAAGGTTTCTTTTGTTCCATGGCAACATTCCAAGGTAATATAAACAATGTGCCCAAAATATTTTTTTCCTACTTTTGGTACTGCTAGACAAATGATCCATCTGATGACAGGAAATGGCAGTAACCTTTGGAAATGTATAGCATTAGCTTGAAAACCCGGGACAAGCTGGCTTTTTAAAGCAAGGTTTGTATTTTTCTAGTCCTTAATGCATGCCTTATTAGCATATCGGATAACTTATGAAGCTGTGGGTAATTTTCTCTGTATTTGACTTTTGAAAATGAGTTTATTTAGCTTCTAAGACCCCTGCTGGCTCAGTCAACACCACAGATATTTTTCTAAGGATGAACTCAGAATCCCTTGGCAATCAATTAGTCAAAACAACAAATATCTATTGACCTCAGGGACAATTCTTCTCACGTGGCTCCCTTAGATATTCTGTGCATAATGGAGAGAGATTTACCAAATTCTCCATAAAAGCATTTCTCAAAAGCACAGAAATGATATGTTGGTCAGAGAATCTGCTTAAATATTTCTACTGTAGGAAACCAAGATGATTCTCGATGATCATGAAAGTGGGCAATACTGGTTGGACTTTGTTGTAAGAACCTCTCTTGGTACCATAGAGCTTTCTGAATACGCAGCTGGACGATTTTTGCCAGCATCAGTGTCTACCTTTTCTTCCCTCTCTTAGGTTCCACTTTCATATGGTTATGCTATCAGATAAGAAACATGTAACATATCTTTTGGGTCTAACTGTAGAGAATTACAGACTCATTAACTATTAGAGGTGGAAGAAACTTTCTCAGAAAGAGAAGATGACTTCCTCAAAAAGTACACAACTAATTATAGCAGCAGAACTAGAGCTGAAATCTAACCTTTAGGACTGTACCTCTTAAGGAGCATCACATTGTCAGTCAAAGCAGAACAAAAATAACCTTGGTAGAGTAATTTCTTAAAAATATAAAATGACTTTTCTGTTTATGAAATTGATACATGTGTATTGTAGAAAATTCAGAAACTATGAGAATATGTTAAAAAGATAAGATAATCAAGATTTTTCCAGAGTCAGTCATTGTTCAATTTCTTTCCGGTCTATTTGTGTACAAATACACATATCCACACACACACGAATAGTATATCAGGTAGAGTTCTTGATAAGATTTTGAGTGTAATTAAATGAAGGGACTATTTATATAGATTTAAAGGAGTTAACAAGGGGTGTTGAGACACCCAGAGACTAGCAACAGTGGATGGGGGAAGAAAAAGTGTTACAGGAGTTCAGCAAGTGTTGGAGTCAGAGTTGAAGAGCTGGCCATCTGAAGTTGTAATAATAGAGGGCATGGACAAAAGGTTAACCAGCCCTACCACTGTTCAGCATGAGCATTTGAGCTGCAGTTAATTTCCTAACTCTCTTCTCCTGGCAATCTGATAAAAGTTGGAATGACAACCATGTTAGAAGGCAACTTTGCTTATGCTAAAAATGACCCTGGGTTGGAAGAATTATAAAGATCTGATGGGGAAACTGTACTTGGGGCATCCTTAAATACAGTGATTCTTAGGGCTGGGCACATCTCTTGCCAGGTCCCTGAACTCAGCATGCCTATAGGGTCATTTAAAGAGATAGTGTCGACCTGCTGGGCTCAGGCGATCCTTCTGCCTCAGCCTTCCAAGTAGCTGGAACCACAGGTGGTGCCACCACGCCGGGCTGATTTTTTTGATTTATTGTAGATATGTGGTCTCGCCAAGTTGCCCAGGCTGGTCTCGAACCTGCGGGCTCAAAGTGCTGGGATTACAGGCTGAGCCACGGAGCCTGACCACTCCAATCTCTTAATACTCTTCTCCCTACATGGAAAGAATCCTAATCAGAAGACAGAGGTCAAGGAGAAAAACTCTGTCCCAGCTAGTGTTAAGTGCTCACCATGGTTTATCATTCTCCTGTTGATGGACACCTAAATTGTTTTCAAGTTTTGACTGCTATGGACATTTGTGTACAAGGCTTGAGTCATATATTTTAATTTTTCTTTGATAAATTCGTAAGAGTGGAATTTCTCGGTCACAGGATAGATTAATGTCTAACTTTTCAAGAAAATGCCTAACAGTTTTTCAAAATGGTTGTACCATTGTATGCTCCCACCAACAATATAAGAAAGTTCCACTTATTTCACACCTCTCTAACTTTTGGTGTTAATGGAGTTTTTCATCTGGGCTATTCTAATGGCTATGTGGTGGTATTTCCTTGTGATTTTAATTGGATTTCCCCAGTGGCTAATAATGTTGAGGACTTTTTCATGTGCTTATTTGTCATTCACATACCTTCATCTATGAAGTATCTATTCAAGTCTTTATATAATTTGATTTTTTAAATTAATTATTATTGTCTATTTTATTATTTTTATTATTGAGTTGTAGGAGTTCCTTATATATTCTGGGTACAAGTCCTTTGTCAGATTTGTGTGTTAGGAACATTTTCTCTCAGTCTGTAGTTTGCCCATTTTCTTCATGATGGCTTTGGATAGGTAAAACTTAAAAATAATAAGTCCAATTTATACTTTTTTCTTTCTGTTTTCTCTTTTCCTGTCCCAAGACTTAAAAATATAGTTGTAGATTATTTTTAAGGTGTCCTTTTTATTTATTTAAAATTTGTTTTCATTTAGAAATAAAATTAAATGTGGGTGTTTTTCAGATCACCCCTTTTCCTACTTCATTGCAGGTGCATCTTCATAAAAGTTCATAAAATGCTGGATGCTTAGCATGGCAAAGAGACCTTGATACTATCTTTTACAAACTCCTTCCTAACAGTAGATTTCTTTCTTAAAAATATGTCTGATAATTATTCTACATCTGCATTCTTCCAGAAATTGAAAACTACCAGAAGTGAGAGGTGAAGCAAAATGTAAAATAATCACTTATTGAAATTGATGCCCTCTTTTAATATTTGCTCATTAGAATTTTATACAATATCAATTTTATTGAAATTCAGTACTATTCTGCCATAAGTTTTGTGAACCAAAGTTACAGTCTATTGGCCAGTACTTATGCAGCTTCAGCATTATAGTTTGTGTTGGCATATAGCGTAGGTTTAGTCGTATCACGATCTAGGAAGTAACAACGTGGTAAGTGCAATAAAGGAACGTGTGGCATGTCTGGGAGGATAACTTATCCTTCCTGAGTATGCCAGAGAATATTTTGTACTGAAGATGTGCTTGAGCTGGGCTTAAAATGGGTAGGAATCTCCACAAAGAGTTGGAGGGTAGAGGCATGGTGTGGTAGGGAACTAGCAGTAGTGACTAATCAGTAGTGACTAATTTCATTTTGAGTCTGAAACACAGCAGTGGGAGATGAGACTGAAGAGATTGGCAGTGCCCAGACTATGAAGACTTTTGCACCTTGTTCTGTGGGTTTTCTGCAAAGAATGGAATGAATGGGCTTGTATACTGGCAGCATCAAGACCAGTTAGGAGGCTTCGACAGAAACTTAATAGTTCTCAAATTCTCAAATAGTTATGCTTCAGATTGTCATTCCTTTTGGATCAGAATCTCCTGGGCAGAGACTGGCCCTTTGCATCTCCCTTCTCCCCTCTCAGGCTCTGTAGGTGATTCTGAAACACACTAGAGTTTAGAAACTACTGGTGAATGATGAGGAGGTATGAACTAAGGCAGTGAGGAAGAAAGAAGCGCCTTGATTAGAGAGATATTAGCAACCAGAATGGTGAGTATTCTTGGTGACCACCTGTACATAAGGAACGAGGAAGTAGGTTTCTGGCTTGAGCTATTTCAAAAAGTGTCCTTCCTGCCGATTACCTACATGACAACATTAGACTACCTGTGAGAGAGAAGAAAGGAAGTTTAGTCTTAGATATAGGATCAACTTTCTATCAAGAAATGCCCATTTCTATCATCTAGGAGCAACATTAACTCTGGGAAAATATGGTTCTGTCAATACAAATATTGAAAATAATTATAAAGTACTTTTATTGTATAATCTTATTCTTTTCAAAGGACATATTCAGCTCTCATTTGTTCAGCACTGAGATTTGTTGCTTGCCTGGATCTATTATTATCATCATACAGATGATAAAACTGAAGCTCAGAGAGGCTAATTGATTTCCCTAAGGGCATCTTAGTCTGGAACCAGGTGGAGCCAAGATTCAAAACCCCTGATGTTGCCAAGTCCAGTTTTCTTCCCATTATTACATAGCCGCTTTTAATAATGTGGATAAGCCGGGATTTTTAAAAAATTAATTTTTATCTATAATGAACTTGAAATCCAGAGAAAAATCTAGGATCTTAAGCTGATAAAGATTAGAGCAGGGGCCAGTACCCAGGTTCTTACTTGCTGGTTCTAGCTCTTTTCGCCATTTCTTCCTATTTTCCAGATGTTTGCAGAAGATGAGATTATTTTCCGTCAGTCTTGCATTCAGTTGGACGTCTTCCCCCTCAAATAGAAAGATTTTAAAGAATTGTAAATATTGCTTTGAAGGCAAGGATTGTAAATATTGCTTTGAAGGAAAGGAATATTGTTTGAAAAGCAAAACTGGCCCTCAAGTCTCAGTCACTTTAGAATGGTGTTTGACAGCACATTTTAGCCTGTGAATGATTTTTTTTTTTTTAAATTAGGAACCTGCGTTTGATGATGAAAGAAATATGGAAGTAACTCCAGGAGAAAAGGTACTTAGGAATGCCAAAGAGCAACGGGACCAACAAAATCGGCTGAGAGAGATAGATGAAAAGCTGAGAAAGATGAAGGAAGATGTGGTAAGTCTTATTTATTTAAAATTTAATTGTAATCAACAATTGTACCAAAAAAGGTTTCAGTCTCCTTTGATTATATTATGACTGTTTGACTGTTTTTATGTGTTAAATCAGCCATGTGAATTGGTCAGTAAGAATTTGAATAAAAGCTCAAAATATGATTCATAGGACTTTAATATTATTTTTAATTTAAGTAATTTATATAGCATAAAACTTTTTATATAACATAAAAAGTATTTAACATGAAAAACAGATTATAACTTCAGACAGTATGTAAAATACTATCTGCAGTCAGAATAATAATTCAAAATCTTAATATTCTGTGTTTGACTGTGATACATATATTCTTTTTTGGGGGAAAATTTTGGTAGCTCTCCATAAAATTATCCTTATGTGTTGAATTTGTAGCTTAAACACTCCCACTTTTTGTTCATAAGTAATACTATATTACTAGTCATTCATTAATTTTAATACATTCTAGATCCTTCTTGCGCCTACTTCATGTTTTTCTTGCTCAACATTTAAAGACATACTGATGAGAGGAAAGCTCTTCAATCAACTAAATTGTGAGCTGGTTGATATTCTGAACCCACTAGAAGTGCTCTGTAGCATTATGATTTTCCAGCTACCCATAGCATGTTTTCAGCAGGATACCTGGATTCTACCTAAAATTAAACCCAACAGGGCTTAGGTTGTGTCTACCTACATCCTCTCTTCCAGGGCTTATCTTGCTATGGTTACCAGTAGTAACTACTTTTTGTCTTCCACTGTATTCTGTCATTTTGGGTGATCTTCAAACCTCATTACATTTAACTAATATGACTAATTTGTTACCATATCCTGTCAGAGTTCCTTATGACTCAAATCATCTTCTTCTTCTTCTTTTGTTTCTACCTTTATTACCCTTCTCTCAGCATTGTCACCTTATGCCTCAAAAACCCTGGTCTTTGTGGGATTTCTTGCTTCCAATCACTGTCTTCTCTTATTTTTCCATTTTATATGATGCTCCATGGGGTAAACATCAGATGAGTGATTTTCAGATAAGATCCCCTCAGATCCCCTGAGAGCAAGCCATATTTGTGACGGATTCTTCACACCTTGTGATTTAGTCCAGTTGAGCTGCTCTTACTGGTTGCCTGCCAAGGACAGTAGCACTGACTGAGAGCCAGTGGAAAGGCAGGCAGCAGATCTAAAGGGAATAAGTACAGAATGCTTCTCTCTCCATCTTGTTTTTGTTTGCTTTTCATGAGAAATTTCATGGGAGTTATATTTCAGAAAGACCTCTATTTCTATTGAATTTCCCCCTTGTGTCTATTGATAAGATGAAGAAATAGGAATGGTAAGGAAGTGTAAAGGCCAGCTATTGTGTTGGTGGTGATGATGCAATGTAAACTTGATGTGATAAATAGAATGTTTGAGGTTTGATTGATTTTGAAAACTGTTGGCACGTCCTCTTACCCCACATCTACCAATCCAAGACAGGCAAAGTCTGTCATTCTCCATAATTTATTCTCCTGATTTCTGATGGCTATAGCTTAGATGTTTGTGTCCCCTCAAAATTCATGTTGAAATCCTAATCCCCAAGGTGATGGCATTAGGTGGTGATTAGGTTATGAAGGTGGAACCCTTGTACGTGGGGTTAGTGCCTCATAAAATAAGCCTAAGGGAACTCTTGCCGCACATGAGGGCATAGTGAGAAGGCACTGTCTATGAACCGGAAAATGGGTCCCTAACAGATATCAAATCTGAACTTGGTTTGGTTGATCTTGGTTTTCCCGGCTTGTAGAACTGCAAGAAATAAATATCTGTTGTTTATAAGCCACCCAGGATATGGTATTTTGTTATAATAGCCTGAACAGACTAAGACACTGATCATTTATCTTTTGCCTTGAACATGTATCTATACATTTCTACCATGTCTCTATCATTATTTAATTTTTGGCTCAAAACATGGATCCTTTAAAACATCTTGTTTTGTCATTCCAGTGCCTTATGAGGTTTGGGTACACTTAAGAGGATATGATAAATATCAAGAGTTGGTTGTTATTTAAGTGGAAAAGAATAATGTATAAGCAGAGAAGAGCATTTGTTCAATACCAACTATGAGTCAGGCACTGTTCCAAGTATTTTACACACACTAAATTATCTAATCTTCACAACCACTTTGAGGTAAATACTACAATCCTCATTTTATAGATGAAGAAATAGAGAGAAAGAGAGGTTGAATAACTTCCTCAAGGTTATATAACTAGTAAGAAGAGGTGATAGGATCCAAATGGTTGGCTTTTAACAGTTATGCTGTACTGCCTTTCTGGTACTTATTTGCATTTCTTTTTATGGTTAATATTGATTTTTGTTAATTACAATACAACAGATATGTCATAACTGCTATTATTCATGAGCAAAATATTTGAGATCCCTCATGTAAATTTAAAATTTACAGTTTTGTATTTTACAGTCAACACTTTCAGAGACAGTTATCTGAACAATAAAGGCATGTGAATGTTGATCTGTATTGTCTTATGTTTTAATTGCTTAGTGGACTCATATTGTGTACCATGTGACCTGTTGAAGGACTATACTGTATTTATTTCAAACTCACTCTACCTCATAGATGTCAAGGTGCTATTTAGATTGGGAATCCAAGACCTGAGACCTTGTTTCAGTTTTACTAATAGCTTGCTCTATGGCCCTGAGTAAATCACTTAGTCTCTTAGGGACTTTGTTTCATTGTTTTAGAATCAAGGGACTAGTCTAGATGACTTCTGTTCTTTTGCCTGTGATTCTTGGCATACTTGCTTTTGATGAGAAGTGATATTATTCAGATATTACCTAAGAATTAGTTGGTGTGTTTCCTAAATATTTGGTATCAATTGGCTTAAATCTGCTATTGAAAGTACTTTTTCATGAAAACTACAAAACACTGCTCAAAAAAATCAAAGATGACACAAACAAATGGAAAAATATTCTATGGTCATGGACTGGAAGAATCAACATTATTAAGATGTCCATCCTACCTAAGGCAATCTACAGGTTTAAAGCAATACCCATTAAATTACCTGCAGCATTCTTCTCAGACCTGGAAACGACAATACAGAAATTCATATGGAAACATAAACGACCACGAATCACCAAAACAATCAGCAAAAAACAAAAAACAAAGAAGGAGGTATCACACTTCCAGACTTTAAACTTTATTATAAAGCAACAATAATCAAAACAGCCTGGTACTGGTACAAGACCAGGCATATAGACCAATGGAACAGGATAGACATTCCAGAAGCAAAACCTCAATTTCTCAACCAACTCATCTTTGACAAAGTCTCCACCACTGACCCACTGGGGAGAAGAGAACCTATTTAGTAAATGGTGCTGGGAAGACTGGCTGACCACATGCAGAAGATTAAAACAAGACCCCTACCTATCACCATATACAAAAATCAACTCTAAATGAATCAAAGAACTTTAAAAAACATAGGAGACACCCTTACGGAAATTGGAACTGGCAACCAATTCCTGGTCAAAACCCCAAGTGCCCATGCCATAAGATATAAGATAGACAAGTGGAACCTCATCAAACTGACAAGCTTCTGCAAAGCCAATGAAACCATCAAGAGATCAGGGAGACAGCCCACAGATTGGGAAAAAATATTTGCCAACTGTGGGTCTGACAAAGTCCTAACATCTAGGAGCTACAAGGAATTCAAACATGCCGAAAAGAAAAAACAAACTGCCCCATTACAAAGTGGGCAAAAGATATGAATAGACACTTCTCAAAAAAAGACATACAAACAGCCAACAGACACATGAAAAATGCTCAGCCTCACTAGTCATCAAAGAAATGCAAATTAAAACCACACTGAGATACCACCTAATTCCAGTCAGAATGGCCACCATCAATAACTCAAAAAACAACAGATGCTGGAAAGATGCAGCAAAAGGAACACTTCTATACTTCTACACCACTGTTGGTGGAAGTGTAAACTAGTACAGCCTCTGGGGAAAACAGTATGGCGTTTCCTAAAAGATCTGAAAATTGATCTTTCATATGACCCCGCAATCCTCCTACTAGTAATATATTCAGAGAAACTCAAATCACTCTATGAAAAAGATACCTGCACATATATTGCAGCATTTATTGCAGCATTGTTCATAATTGCAAGAATGTGGAACCAGCTGTGCTACCCATTGAAAGAGGACTGGATAAAAAACATGTGGTACATATACACGATGGAATATTATGCAGCCATAAAGAAGGACAAAATCATGAACTTCACAGCAGCCTGGATGGTCTTAAAGTCTATGATAATGAGTGATCAATCACAGAAACAAAGAACTGAGTATCACATGTTCTCACTCATAAACGGACCTTGAACAATTATTGTCATACTATAAGAAAAGGATTGGCAGTAACAGGAAACTGCTAGGGGTGGGGGTTGGAGGGATTGACTGTAGTGGGAATCTGCTAAGGGTGAGGAAACAGACCTCATCAACAAGGGTACCTGCATAATGAACATTTGCTTACCTAACCCTGAATTGTACCCCACATCTTTAAAATGAAAAATTAAAATAAAGGAAGTTACTTTTTCTCACTCAAAGTGGATCTTGAACAAATATCATATTATAAGAAAAGAATTTGCAGTAGTGGGAAACTGCCAGAGGAGGGGAGTGTGGGATTGGCAGTCGTGGGAAACTCCCAAGGGAGGGGGGACATACCTCATCAACAAGGGTACCTGCATAATGAACATTTGTATACCTAACCCTGAATCGTACCCGACTCTTTAAAATAAAAAACTTCTTTAAAAAAAGAAGTTACTTTTGAGAGTTTAGTAACACTTTTTAAGAAAATGTGAGATTGTCTTTTATGTCTAAAAATTAGTCTACTGCCTACCAATCAGAGGAGTATGGTTTCTGAATGATATCTTCTGGAAGTGGCTAATTTTGCAGTTTTGTCTTATTCTCCCTCCTGCAATTGAATACCCTTTCAGGATCCTGGGGTAAAG